GGAATGTTAGTAATGTAATTAGCTGTACACATCCTGAATGTGATTAACATCAGCTAACCTCTACTGTGGTTCAACAGCAGCAGTAGTTTCCTGTGATGAAGTAACAATCCGAAAAAGAGAGACTGCAGAATTCAATCAGAAGTTCTGATGTGTGGCTTTCCCTTTATTTTTTCTCTATTTAATTTGAGCCTAAAAGGATGTGCCTGTGTTATCTAGTAAGTAAGAAATCCCAGATTGCTTTGTTTCACTTCTGCAGTAATCATCTAAGTAAAAATTCAAGCCTACGACTTGCGAAAGAGGAAGATAAAAGCAGTCATTTTGCCTTTGTAGAATTTATAAGTAAAATACAAAAACCCCAATACTTCATTTTGCACAGTCCCTTTCATAGTAAAAGCAAGAACGACAATGTCACCCATTACAGGCTGGCTTACATTTGTACAGCAGTCTACACAAACACGCACATACCAGGGATGATGCGTTGTTAAACTTCCCTGACATTTCTGTAAATACCAAGTGCCCCACACATCTAAAACCCCTTATTTTTTAAAAATACATCTTCATAAACAACGATTCGTTATAGGTTATAGTCATCAGAAGGTAGAAAGAATATGTTTATTTACCAGGTCCTACATGCTTAAGTATGAAATTTTCATCTGGAAATCTACTGCCGTAAATGGATTTTCCACCGGTTCCGTTATGATTTGTAAAGTCACCACCCTGAAACAGAAATGGCCATTAACTTTACTAGCACACAAGCATATACTTTACATGCTATCGAAAATATACTCACATGCTCTAATTTAAAAGTAATAAAATCAGCAAATTTTCTTCAGGTTAAGAATGAGTACAGTCACACGAGGATTTAAAACCATGTAACTAGATGAAGATACAATCAAGCTAGAAGTAAATTTCTGCTCCAAATATTGCTGGTATTCTCCAACTGACATCCATAGCTCCAACAACCACTCTTCTGTGTTACCAGCCTTGGTCCCAAATATGATGCAACAAATGGCAGTAATTTTAAGAAACACCTCACAGGCCTCAAAACAAAATCACCCAAATTCATTACCATAGGCAAGATCTCAGAACTATTTTTTCCCCTTTCTTTCTTTTCCCCAACAGGTATAAACACTGATCAGAATCTCCATTATTATTTGCTATTTCCAGGTTTTGCTCTTCAAGTGTTACACCTGAACCATTTCAAACTTCCCTCAGCTACATGCAGTTTGCTGGGATAGATGTGACCACCTGTCTCAGGCGAGACACACAAAACCCAACAAGCAAAAAACGCAGCCACAGTGACTCACAAAGGTGGCTACTGAACACTGCTTCCAGCAATCTGCCATCACCTCTCCCAGAAGCGACACCACCCGTGTAAGCAAAGAACTAACAAGTGTTTCACGTGATGCTCATCTTCCCATTCTCACCTTGAGCAATCTATTACAAGAGGTGTCACAGCTACTCCTGCGCGCTCCCGGAAGTGTGCTCTGCATGCTGCATGCCATGGGCAGGCATTTGAATTGCCAAGTCCTGGCTATGCTGACCTCCAATTAGGCTATACCAACTGACTGAATCATATTAACACTCCATCTCAACAACTGGAAAAGCCTCTACTGTTTCCTCTCACTTTAAAATATTTGAAACCTATGACAGTATTTCCACTTCAGTAATGACTACCAAGTAATGCTTAAACATCAATTCATCATCTCGCCATACCATGGAGTCAACCACCCAGTATCCTCATTTCAGGTCCATTTGTAGGGACATAACTGGGAGGCAAGAAGAACAGACTTACACAGAAATTCACCAATCAGTGGCAGAACTGAGAGCAGGATTTCTATTTTTCTTATATTTATATATTTCTGACCCCAGCAAAACTGCTAAACTTTGCCCTTTTGTCAGCATCACAAAACCTTAGTCTGTATTTCAAAGGCAAGAAAATAAGTCCTTTACAGCACACTTGTCCCCCTTCTCTACTTAGAAATAGGTCATAAGACAGCTGTTCTGACAGCTGTATTTTTCACTTTAAAAAAAAGCAGGGTGGGGACACACCATCACAGACATCAGTTAATAAATAAAGCATGCTTACTATAACCTTAATCTCAATTTTTTTACAGAGCCATTCTACAATGCAATGTTGTTGAAATGTAGCTTCCTTTAAGGGAAGAGAGGACCATGAGGCATCACATCATCCAGTGCACTACAGCAGCTGAAATCCTGCTCATCTGTCAAGGAACGTAGAAAAAAAAAGCTTTCAAAAGGCTTTTTCCATTTATTTGGGTTTTTTTATCATTGTTGTTGCTGCTGCTGTTTAAGAAAAAATTACTAACGTGTATGGACTTTAATTTAGAATTTTGAAAGATTCATCCCTTAAATCAAAACAAAATCCATTTCAGGTGTGTCATCACAAAAAATCTACCCCAACCAACTCTTTTGGTTCCCTCCTTCCCTCCATATTAGGGAGATGTTCAGAAAAAAAAGTATTTTTTTAAAAAAGAACACATTCTCTATTGTGAACAGAGTATTCTGCTAGGAATAAAAAATGGACATGTTTTCTCAGCTCACTTAAAACACAAGGTTGATTGTAATTCTACACACAAATGGTTCTCCCAAGCAAGTGCCATTTGCCAAATACGCCCCGCACTAAAGTACACTGTTATATGAAAGCAGAAAGCCTTAAGACAGTTTTTTAAGACAGTCTACACATAATTTACATTTATTTGTACAAAAGATGTGCTAAGCAACAGCCAGAGCAAAAAGATCAGAAACGCAAGTCACACTGTCACTTCTTTATTCTGTTGTTACCAAAGGTTAGAGCAGAGCCACTTAAAATGTCACTACTAGTCTAACTGGTTCTAAAAATAGATGTAAATAACATGCAAGTAAATTTAATGGCAAAAGTAAAAACCAAAAAAAATCACCTGGCACATAAATGAAGGAATCACTCTGTGAAAAGTGGATCCTTTATACCCAAATCCTTTTTCACCAGTACAAAGAGCTCTAAAGTTTTCTGTGGAAACAAAGCATAAAGCATTACGTTGCCATATATGATGCATAATATAATCAAACACAACTAGATTAATTATGTCTCAAGTTTATACACTTCAAAAATGTTACAGTATCTTTAAGGTATCATTGATTTCTTAGTTGTTCCTGTCCTTTAAAAAACCTCTCTTAGAAAGCTAAGGAAACAAAGCTCGTTTAGCCTCAGAACAGGGTACAAACAGAACCCTTTTCCATCTCATCTCCCTTTTATTTTGCTGTGGTACCTTAACTCCAACCTCCCCCTGCCTCCCTAGGCCCACCCCTCTAGAGTCAAAGATTTAATTTTCTGGCTTTTATGCCTTTGTTCTCTATAGTAATGGTGTAGATGATGCTTTTTTCCCTTAAGGATATTCATCTACTGGGAACTGAAAGAGAGGTACAAGTTTTTTAGAACCACTAAATAAGCAGATGAGGAAGGAAGCAGGTGATAAAACACAAAAACCTTGTAACATGAGTGCACTGATCAGCTAATGAGCAGGAAAACAAAACCCTATGCGCTCCTTGGAAACTCTGAGAGACACCATCCCTTTGGTTCAACCTCTCCCCTTTGCTCTGGGGTTTGATTTTAATGCAAACTAATGTGTTCTCAAACATATTTATTCACCACTGATAAGCCAACATATGGACTGTACTGTCTTGGTGCAAATTACAAAATGAAACTGTTTGGAACAACAGCAAATTGTAACTCCTCACTAGCGCCGTTTTGACAAAGTTCGTATCATATTTCTCTATTTAACAACTAGAGATGGAACATGGAAATAGTTTGCAAAAGGTGAAAGAATATTCTTGTTCCTGCAAATCACAACCTAAACCTTAAATATTTAAGTATGAAATTCTGGAGATGCTGCCTTACCTACTGTCTTTGGAACCACATCAGCTTTCAGCTGTTAAAGAAAAATAAACAAATGAGTAAGTCAGCTTTTTCATACATACCTAGAAAAACTTCTACATGGGAGGCTGGTACAACTGAAGCCTCTTCCCACAGTGATGAGCTATCTGAAATCACAAGCCACCCAAAATTCCAAGAATACCTTAAGATTTTCCAAGTATTTGGCTAGTAATTAATAATATCCCCTCAATGCAACTTTTGGCCTGTTAATGAAGAGCAACTTGACCAGTGTCTAATGATTTCATTGATCAACACAATAATTTAGCAATAACGAAGAAGAATCTTTACAATGGACCTCAAGGATCAAAGCCAGTTTGGATACAACTGGAGAGATCAAAGTCTCCTCAGCACACAGCCATCTATTGAAATCTGCAGCAAAGGCAAAGGAAAAAGATGAGCAGAAACTGTGTATCAAACTCAACTCATGATGTTACATACACATTTGTTACCAACAGAAGTGTCTGATTTTTATTAGCACGCATCTTTTCACTAATCTTAAAAATACAGGGTTTTATAATTGCCTGAGAAAAGTGACATAAAAGTGGCCATACCAGGTCACATCAAAAGTTTTATCTGGTCACATATCCTGACAGTGGCCAGCAGGAGACACTTAAAAACAGTATGGCTGTGGTGAGAATTTAATGTTCCGTCCCTAGGGTGCTCTCCTCAGATGCCTATAATTTAGAGTTGAATCTAATCACAACTTAGCCAAAGATTCAAGGCAATGCCTCAATGCATTCAGATTTTCTGTAAATTAAGCACACTAAAAATCTTTAGCGTGGAAATGAAATGCCACCACAAGAAATACAGTAACATTAATGCTATTTTTTTATAATACCATCCAGCTATTTACTAAATCTCATTGATGAATAAGGAACTTGCACAGCAATTGACTCCCTCAAACGCTACCTCCTGAGAACACAAGAGCCGGTAGTGTCCAACTAATTCATATGCTTACACTTTCAATGAAGAAAAATGAATTAGGCTCTAACCTCAAGGGAAACCCTTTTAGACAGAACCCTTATGAACTACATTTTTAAAAAAATCTACCGGTAGAGACCCAACGTGGGTGCTGGAGGCAGAAGGCCACACTGAATTCCTTCAGTAGGCAACAATTCGGAGGAGCAGCACCCCCTCGCCAGTGCACGTTGTGGAGCAGAGCCCTCATTCCTTCCCATACACAAAGCATTTATTCAGAGGCACGTGCCCAGCCCCAAGGATACGCGGTGCACCACAATTAAAGTCTCTGCGCTTATCGTCCTTCCTGTAAGAGCGGAGCGTACCGCAGTTTTCCTGTCCGGGCCTCCTTTAAATGGCTGCTTATTCCAGAAACTGAATTTTTAATTATAAAGCCGTTTGCTATCCGGCTGCTGAGCTGGCTGCCCGTTCAAACAGAGCTGTGCAAACCTTCCAATGCACGTGAAGCTGGAAGCTCAAAGAGGCAGTACCTCAGAAAACCGGACTAAGATCAAACAGTAAGGACTCGG